CTGGCATGTATGACCCGCTACTACGGTCACGTGTCTCTGATGTCACGTTCCAAGAGTAGACGGGTCCATTCCGTGAACACGGTTGATGGAGTCAACCGAAAATTTGGGGTAGATACTGAAGGTGTGATAATGTCACATGACTGAAGTAGGGCAATTCTTAAATCATTCTTAAATTCAGACTAAACTTTTCCTCCCAGCCTCAGCTGGTTTAATATCTTGTCCTCTTGCTGAATTTATACTTGAAAATGTCGATCTGAGAACCACAGCAATAAATTGGGGTGTCCCTAATATTTGGGCAAGATGGTTACAAAAAGCATTTTATGATAAACCACAAGCTGCCCCTCCCCACCTGTAGCAACATGTGCGGGTTGATTAATGTAAGCTATGGTGCGGATGTGCTTTCCCTCAGCTGTGAACATCTCCACCCGGCTGTTCCTAGTATCAGCCACAATCACACGCCCCAAACTGTCCACACAGATTCCTCGGGGATAAAAAAGATTCCCTGCTCCACTACCTTGACTGCCAAAACTGGACAGGAAGACTCCATCCTTGTCAAACTTTAGAATACGATGGCCATTCCTGTGTATGGCATAGATGTTCCCTTTTGTGTCTACAGTTACAAATGCTAGATAATCAGGCATTGGAAAATTTGCTGTCAACCTGGCCATGTTACATGTTGGTGTTGGTGTATAAGTAACGTAATGATGTAACCACACAATCTCTGCGGGATCACCGGACTGTCGTGTGATCAGTATGATTCTGTCTGAAAACTTGTGCCAGGCAATCCCATACACGTGATAGATATGAGTGCATGTAAAGCTGACGTGCCCCTCTTTAGATTTGCTGTACTGCTGGATGGTATGTTCGTCATTGCGACCTGAGTACAAAACGACCCACAGGGTGTCGTGGCCCATGCACATGGCACGTGGTTTCATGTTTCCTGTGGAGAAACTGCGAAGGAAATCCCCCTTCATGTTGAACACTTGGATTCTTTTGTTGCCCTCAGCCACAAATATCTCGTTAGTCGAGGACACAGCCAGTCCTCCCCAACCGCTTGGCGTAAAACAACCGTAGCATGTTCCTCTCTCGCCAAACGTGACTTTTGTTTGCACTTCTGCTGGTAAAAAAGAGTAAAACACTTAGTGGGCACCACTTTTTAGAGCATAACATACAGATACTAAGTACTACTAGATCGATAGATAGATACTAGATAGATCATAAGATAGATATATTTAGAGAGAGATAGGTAAATAGATAGATATACTATTACATGTAGATAAATAGATACTATTGCATGACTATTTTGACAGTTTTTAGCACTTCAAAATTTGGAAAACTTGAGGATAGTATTGTTTTAAGATATATAAGTCCTCATACTATGAGAAACAACAGTTTACCACTGAAGAAGACATTTTAAAACTTACACTGTTAATTGGCCACAGTTGTTTAGGTCCAGGTCCTGATCCATTAACCACTGTACCTGTTGAAGGTACTGTATTGTTTAAGCCACACACTTCTACCAAAAGAACAGAAGTAGATCTTTGCACCCACCTTCACAGTGGTATGTTACTTCCAGGTACTTATATATGGCTGGACAGTTTCGTGCTGGCATGAAGAGTGGTTCTAGTGGCTTTTCACACTGCTGCAGCCCCTGACATAGTTCCCTTATGTAGGACAGGGTTGTGGATTTTGGTCTGTTACAAAATACGAGAAGCAATTTAAAACCGTCAGTTATTGAAATTGAACTAAGGCCACACCGACTTAATTTTACGGATGACATCTGCGCGCGCATTGATTTTCGCCTGTTGTCAAAAAAAAAAAAAAGATTACGTCCTCCGAGGCTCTGGCTCTAGGCCTGGGTAGTCCATGATATACCGGTAGTTAGCGACAATACGGAGCCTGTGGTAACTCTGGAGGATGGCACCAAGGCTGCAGAAGATCCATAACTCAAGAACTCATTACGCACGTACAGTGACCATTCATAAATTCCGCAAAAACTGTAAATTCACAATACCAGCTTTGTATTCCTGTGGTTTAGTAGTATTTTTATTTTTAGCCGGAATTTTTTTTTATTCACCTGCATGCACTAGTTTGGGGGTCTTCAGAGGATGTCATCAATCAAATTAAGTCTGTGTGGCCTAAGCTAACTTTTATCAAATTGACATGTTGAAATTATGTAAAAATTAGACAGCTGTGAATTCTTACAAATGTCATACGCTATTTATATAACACGTCCTTGTTAACTCAATGTGAAATGAATAATCAGTTGTTTTAGTAGAAGTCCAATTACTCCCCTAAATGAAGAAACCTTATCAGATGTTACGACTTAAAGATTATGGTTGCCATTTAGGCCACACCAATTTAATTTGTTGGTTCTCGGATTTATTCAGAAAAAATATGAAGCGACGGGCGAAAAAAAAAAAAACAGGTCTAGGCATCCTATTATAGGCTTAAATGCTACGAAATGAGCCATGAAGTCAACACAAAAGGCTGGGTCAAAATTTAAACATTGAATTTTGAACTTTTAACCAAACCACTGCAATGATAGATGGGAAAAATGTAACAAGTAGGAAGAAAAGGACTTTCCTCAACTGTTGGGGGCAAAACATGAGCATTTTTAAGTTGATTCAGGACCAGAATCAAATTTTTTTTTTTTTTTGCAAATCAGAAAAAAACGAAGAGGCGAATCCGAGAACCAACAAATTAAATTGGTGTGGCCTAAGCTTTTAGAGGACCTTGCCTGACTAAATCTCACTCCTAGTGGCCAGCCCACCCAACAGTTGCCATCAGTGAGTAAGGAGTTAAACACAGGCTACTTTCAGACGTACCTTTCAGAGGGCTGCTAGCTATAGGGGTGGGATTAGATCGGTTATGGTGCTCCTACCTGCCATCCACATCTTGACACCCGTCACAAGACTTCAGCGTACATCCACAGCAAGACTTCTTTTCCCACCGACCGCAGAATGCATCGTCGATCACAATCAGCTCATTTGCTGCACAAGACAGTCGCATGGTCTCCCTTTCACATGTTTTTGCTGTATCAGTGATAGAACATTACCTTAGTAGGCCACACCGCTCTAATTCATTGGTTATCAGATTCATTTAGAAAAATATAAAACAACAGGGAGGAAAAAAATGAAAAAAAATTCTATGACAGTGTACAACAGCCAAGAAAATTCTGATATCCAATCTTATCCTAGCATTGTACAGTACATTGTAGGATGTGATAATTAAAGATATGCAAAACAATATTAAATGCAATTTTGAATAGTAAAAACTGTAATGTATTTGGTATTTAAACCCCAGAAGATACACTCAGATAACAATTTTTTTCGTATTTAATATAGAATACTGTCTGATAAATTCTGTTATCTCATACATATTATTACTTTATATAAGTACTATGATACTATGATTTTATATATACATATTGGCTATATAACATAATTATATTACATCTTTTATAGGTGGGTGGGTTGATACCACCAAGGCTGGGTGGGTTGGTACCGTCGATACCACCAAGGCTGGGTGGGTTGGTACCGTCGATACCACCAAGGCTGGGTGGGTTGGTACCGTCGATACCACCAAGGCTGGGTGTGTTGGTACCATTGATACCACCAAGGCTGGGTGGGTTGGTACCATTGATACCACCAAGGCTGGGTGGGTTGGTACCATCAAAGGTCCTGATGGTAGGTACATGTATCAGTTCTGTTTCATTCAGTGTACTCAAGTTCTTCACTTCTTGCATAGTCTGGAAAAAAAACAACAAGAAGAAATGTAGATCTAGAGTTCCACGATCTCATACCTTTGCCAAATAATGTTTACATTTACGATTGACTTGACCAAATACTGCAAGTATGGAATTGCCGCCAGTTCCAGGTGTGGAATTATAGATTTTTGTCATTAATTATGCTAATGGAGTAAAAATTTACACAATTAACATCTATCTGCCAATGTTCCTCTTCGTCTTACTTACATAATGTCACATATTTTTAGAGTTTCCTTATTAATTATGTAAATTGGATCCTAATTTGTATAATTGTCATCTACATGTAATTATGTCAAGCATCACAAGGTACATACACACCAAAAACAACGACAATCCGTCAACCAGTTCATTCTTGAGTTATCCTACTTCAAACATTTTCAAACAAATGCTCCTGCAGTTCCCATACAAGCTGCTAGGGGACTACCACCCAAATATCATGACCCTAGCATTCCAGATCAAAACCGGAAGTTCCGTGGCAGTACGATAACAAGTCACCAGGGGGCCCAAAATATAATCATTTCGTGGTTTCATCAAGACCTACATGTGGCAACCTACCAAATATCAAGACAATCCATCAAAGCCTTCTTGAGTTATTGTGTTCACAGTTTCACACACATACACACTGACACACAAACGCCACTAAAAACATGTTTATTTTCTTGGTGAATGGTGATGATAATGAAACAATATCATGTAAAATAAAGGTGTAAAATTTAGCCCTGTCAAAGATGTTGACCTCACCTTTTGCATGCCTTGGGTGCTGTGATAGACTCCTATGATGACTCCTGTGGTGATTGCTCCCACCAGAAGCAGGACAACCACCAAAGTAACGAGAAAGCATCTTCGATTCACTGCAAAATAGCCTTTTCAAATTTTTTTAATAAATAGTTTCTCTTACCAAAAAAATACATGTCACAGGCACGGTAATGCAATTAGTAAGACCTAGGAAAAAATGTTGTGTTTCCTGTTCTGAAAAAAGCTAGGGTCAGTAGGTAGGGATTATAATCTTTCTAATAGACTTTGGCAATCTCTTAAACTATTGAACTTGTACAAATTACAATTAAACAAAGTAAAACTTTCATGACGACACTTATATTTTCAATGCTAATGCTGAAAAACTGATTGTACAACGTTTCATCCTTTGTGTCAGATAATGGAGCTAGAAAAGCTTGATCAGCTCAAGAAATTCATGTCCCTTGCAGGGAACCGTTAAATCAGACATTAAGAAAAATGCCCTCCAAACAACAATTGTCGTGCCTCGCATACAGAAGATGCATGTGCACAACAACAATTGTTGCGCGCCGCAGGACTAGGGTTTTAAACAAAGGATTTATTGAGACCGGACACCCCTCTGTGAGAAGGGTCAGATCAGTGGACCAGACCGATAATGCCTTACACCCGCCAAAGGTCAACGCTCGCGACTATTTTCACGCTCAAAGGGTTGTTTTGGGGCCACCAAAAGGCACCATTTTCACGCCCGAAAACACATATACAATAAAAACAAAAGAACGTGCATCATCTACAGCCCAATAGCAAAACATATACCAAGTCCCAAAAAAAATCCGTCCACCCAAACGCAAGAAACAGCTGTGAACTTGAAAATCTAAATCTCTTACAAAACCCTTCCGCAGAAGGATGTCTCCTTCCTCGGAGGTAAAAATATAAGAATGGATGAGAAATTGAAATAATATCATTAGGGCGGGAAGCACACACCTTTATCCTGCCATTACCAGGCTGAAAAATATCAGCCACTTTCAGGCTTAAAAATACAAGATCAGAAGTATTAACTACAAATGGCAGTAAAGAGAAAAAAGTAATATTTTATCAAGATGTGGAGAAACATTTTCGTACCCTTGGTACATGGCACATTAAAAATTGTGCCCCATATGCTGTAGGATTTAGACAAATTATCACAGATTATGTCCCAACAGTTACACCAAAATGTATAAACAACAAACTAGACCTGCTACTAGATCTTTAGTGTGTCATGAAACACAATTTTAAGTCTGTCATCTTACCGCAAAGTTTACTGGCCTGCTGGAGGTTTGGTACGTACATCGGGTTTGGATTAAGTTTCTTTGCATTTGGAGGATTGCGAAGCTTGCGTACGTGATCGGTGGGGTCATGGCTGGAGTCATCTGAAGTCTGTTCACAAACAGCGTAAGGTTCAATGTCACCATCTCCATCATCAGTCACTGTACTGTCTGCTTTGGGTTCTTCGTCCTTGTATCTAACAGCGTAAGGTTTGATGTCACCATCATCAGTACTGTCTGCTTTGGGTTCTTCGTCCTTGTATCTAACAGCGTAAGGTTTGATGTCACCATCATCAGTACTGTCTGCTTTGGGTTCTTCGTCCTTGTATCTAACAGCGTAAGGTTCAGTGATGTCACCATCATCAGTACCAACCTAAAGTTAGCCCTCCTTTCGGCCTTCGATTCGCCAGCCTTCGATTGAGCCTTCGATTCGAATGGTAGGCACTATTTCGGATACGTCTCAGGCGCGGAAGCATTCTACTGTCCCATATATGCAAATGAGCACGCATACAGTATGTAAATAGACATTGCACATACGTATGTCAAACCAAACCACAACCTTTCAGACTCTGTATTCATTTGATTAAATAATCTTCTAATCTTTAACTACCAAATGAGTTTTAATAATCTTTAAGTGGTCGATACTATCGAAATGAATCAACGCACATGGATTCATCTTTACGTCAAAGATTCAAGAATGCCGTCCAGGACCGCACCCGACATGTTTCAATTAGACGCCTTGTTGCAAAGTAACGAAATAATTTTCTGTATTCAAATGTTTTTAACAATCTTTTAGCGGACTATACCATCAGATAAAACTGATAAAACTAACGTACATTACGAAGTTTAGACGTCATGACGTCATAGATTAAACAATACGGATTTTCGAGGATCGCAACACTAGTGGATGCATAGAGAATTAACGCCATGTTGCAAAGTAACGGAATAATTTCTAGAAACCAAATGTCTTTTAAAAATTCTCAAGAGGTCCATACCACAAAATTTGACTGATAAAACCAACGCACATTGCGTCATTTGGACGTCATGACGTCATATATTCAACCATACAGATTTCTAGGGCCAGAATCCCTGTTTATATAATTATATTCAACTACTCCTAGCTAATTAACGAAATAATTCTTAGTTTTTAAATCAATTTTAACAGTCTTTTAAAGGTCCATACCACCAAATAAAACTGATAAAACTAACGCACATTGCGTCGGTTTGACGTCATGACGTCATATATTCAACCATACAGATTTCTAGGGCCTGAATCCCTGTTTATATAATGATATTTAACTACTCGTAGCTAATTAACGAAATAATTCTTAGTTTTTAAATCAACTTTAACAATCTTTTAGAGGTCCATACCACCAAATAAAACTGATAAAACTAACGCACATTGCGTCGTTTGGACGTCATGACGTCATAAATTGAACTAAACAGATTTCTAGGGCCAGAATCCCTGTTTGTATGATATTCAACTACTCGTACCTAATTAACGAAATAACTTTTAGTTCTCAAATCAATTTTAACAATCTTTTAGAGGTCCATACCACCAAATAAAATTGATACAACTAACGCACATTGCGTAGATTTTATGTCATGACGTCATAGATCCAACACTCGATATTCAGTATTCAACTCAATATTTAACTTAACTACTCGTAGCTAATTAACGAAATAATTTTTAGTTCTCAAATCAATTTTAACAGTCGTTTAGAGATCCATATCACTAAATAAAACTGATGAAATCAACGCACATTGCGTCGTTTGGACGTCATGACGTCATAGATTCAGCAACCAAACAGATTTCTAGGGCCAGAATCCCTGTTTATATAATGATATTCAACTACTCATACCTAATTAACGAAATAATTCTTAGTTCTCAAATCAACTTTAACAATCTTTTAGAGGTCCATACCATCAAATAGAACTGATAAAACTAACGCACATTGCGTCGTTTGGACGTCATGACGTCATGGATTCAACCATACAGATTTGTAGGGCCTGCATCCTGTTTATATAATGATATTCAACTACTCGTAGCTAATTAACGAAATAACGTTTCGTTCTCAAATCAATTTTAACAATCTTTTAGAGGTCCATACCATCAATTAAAACTGATACAACTAACGCACATTGCGTCGTTTGGACGTCATGTCGTCATAGATCCAACACTCGATATTCGATATTCAGTTTTCAACTCAATATTCAACTTAACTACTCGTAGGTAATTAACGAAATAATTTTAAGTTTTCAAATCAATTTTAACAGTCTTTTAAAGGTCCATACCATCAAATAAAACTGATAAAACTAACGCACATTGCGTCGTTTGGACGTCATGACGTCATAGATTCAACCATACAGATTTTTTGGGCCTGAATCCCTGTTTATATAATGATTTTCAACTACTCGTACCTAATTAACGAAATAATTTTTAGTTCTCAAATCAATTTTAGCAATCTTTTAGAGGTCTATTTAATCAAATAAAACTGATAAATCTAACGCACATTGCGTCGCTTTGGCGTCATAGATTCAACCATACAGAGTTGTAGGGCCAGAATCCCTGTTTATATAATGATATTCAACTACTCGTACCTAATTAACGAAATAATTTTCAGTTTTCAAATCACTTTTAACAATCTTTTAGAGGTCCATACCATCAAATAGAACTGATGAAACTAACGCACATTGCGTCGTCTGGTATTAAAATCATGGAGTCACCATACGACAAGGCGCCTAACGTCATTAATACACCCCGGATTCGTTTCTGGAAATCTTTAGTTTTTAATCACCGACGCCATGACATAAAAACTATATATAGCTACGCAATATACATTACTTTTATCAATTCAAACTTATAGTATAGTCCACTGAAGAATTGTTAAATTGTCTTGAAAATTGTCTTGAAAATTATTTCGTTACTTTGATACGAGGCTTTTAATCCCCTTGAAAACATGTTGGAAGCGGTTCTTTACGGCATCCATAAATCAATGACGTCATGGCGCCAACAAGACGCAATGTGTACTTAGTTTCATTGGTGAATCCGATAGAATAGACCCATGAATAACTGTAAAAAGTCATTTGGTTATTGAAAATTATTTCCTTACTTTGCTACATGATGTTTGATATCAATAATTACACTAGGGTTGCAGTGCTTGGAAATCTGTATTTATGAATCTATGACGTCATGATGTCAAAACTACGCAATGTGTGTCATATTTTTCTATGACGTCATGATAAATTAATGGGCGTTAATTTTATCAATTCAGTCGTATAGTATGGACTACTGAAATTTATTTTGCTCTTGAAAATTATTTTCTTACTTCGCTACAGGACGTTTAATCTCTACTTCTCTACACTAGGATTGTGGTCCTGGAAAGCTGTATTGTTGAATATATGACGTCATGATGTCGAAGGTTCGCAGTGAGCGTTAGCTTTATCATTAGTATTTGATAAAATGGACCACTAAAGGTTTATTGAAAGGCATTTGGTACCTGAAAATCATTTAGTTAATTTGCTACAAGTTGTATAATGGCATAAAATATGCCAGGGTTGCAGTCCTGCAAAATCTGAATCTATGACGTCATGACGTCAAGATGACGCAATATGCGTTAGTTTTCTCAGCCGAATCTTATAGTATGGACCGCTTAAGAATTGTTAAAAGTAATTTAATTCTTGAAAATTATTTACATTACTTTGCTACATCGCCTTAAGCATAATAAAATAGACCGCGGTTACGGCCCTGCAAATCTTTATTAATTAATCTATGACGTCATGACGTCGAAGCTTC